ATGGCAAGAGATCTGGGAAGCGAACAAAAACGCATCGATATGTGTCACAAGAGCAGACGTGGAAAACTATGCTCAGATGGTATACTACACACGTAAAACTACACAAAATGCACAAAATTGATACAGACAACTGCTGGAGAGGCTGCGGAACCCAAGTAACATACATTCACATGTGGTGGGGCTGCCCGAAGATACACGGCTTTTGGAATTCGGTGGAGGACTTGTTGAAGCAGACTTTCGACAGGCCCCTGGATATGGACCCGTGGATATATCTATTGAATAGATCTGTAGACGGATGGACTAAGAGAGAGCAGAAATTAGTACATAAGATAACCCCGAGTGCACGGCGAGCAATAGCGACTGCATGGCTATCACCATAGGGCCCAGAGTTTCCAGGGGTGATATCTAGGATAAGAGAATGTATAATTATGGACGACCTGACAGCAAGAATAAGGGGGACAACAACGGCATTTTAGAGACTCTGGGAGCCATGGGACAATAGCTTAGTGGGATCAAGGGGAGACTGACAGGGATCAGTAAGAGAGTTAACCCAGAGAGCCCATGGAGAACCCCTCCCCACCCCCCACACGGGCGCCCCCCCTTTCTCCCACCTCCTCTTCTTCTACTTTCCTCTCCTCTACTATCTCTCCACTTTCCTCAGACTATATATCTCTTCCTCTACCCTCTCTCAACAACTTATACTCTTCTTTCTTGATTTTATTTTTATTCCCTTGGTTTTCAAGGGCAAGAAGTTTTTATTTTCTACCAGGTATGTTTCAAACGCTGGAGGAACAGGGAAGCCTAAGGGCAGGTGCAGCCTTCGATCAGTTAGGGCTCCATTAAGTTGCTTAACAGCCTGGATATAAACAATAAAACCCTTGGAGGGTGGCAAATCTTTAAGGCTGAAGGAGCTGCCTTGTCTCAATCTTCTTGTATTTGTATTATGCGATATTGAAAATGCTCATGTTATGGCTTCTGCGCAAGCCAAAAGTTACTGTCTATTTGCTGTACCCATTGAGCGAAAAAAAAAGAAAAAAAAAAAAGAAATACCGAACGCACACTCTGGCTTCTTAGTAGCGTTTGTTCGTATGAACCATTCATAAAACTGGCTTGAAAAGACAGTGGATTGGGAATGGGGATTAACTGACTGGCTGAGAGTGTCAGCTGACTGCTTTCAGCCAATCAGCAGCACCGCTGCCCGATTCAGCAATAGCCTTCCGGTTTAGAAATTTTTAGAAAACGGAAGGACAAAGAGATTCGGCGCTGGAACACAGATTTGGGATTTAAACCGTTCGAGAACATTATAACAATTTTATTACAATGAAGTTGTTATGGTGTCCAAACTGGTCCTTTAAGAATCCTCCTAAACAGCAGGTCTGAGGCCCTCACATTGGACCACCATGACAGCAGAATAATCTGCATTGAATTTCGGTTTGTTCCCCCTCCTGCACAGACTGTTTGATTTCTAGAAAAGGAAACATTTGTTATAAATGAAAGAATAACCTTGGCTTATCTCATTAGACCTTGAGACCATTTCCTTGACTTTCTCAACACTGACCTTAACCACGTACATTGGTATCTGGTAATGACTTCCCCTGGGGGTCATTCAGCTGGAAATATTCCGTATTCAGTATTCGTAGATTTCTCTACAAGATCTGGAGCATGCATTACACTAACACAGAATGCTACGTTTCCATAGGATTCTACACAGAATTATCTGTCAAACTGACATCTCAACGCATTCTGGGTAAACGCTTTCTAAATAAACAAAACTAAAATAAGTTACATAAGATATGTGCATCATAGTTTAGATACTGGACTTTGATATCAGCCACTTCCTATTGTGTAAGATTTATACTCTTATTGGGTTATCACTAATGTGAGAATTCAAAGTGAATGTCAATTTAAAAGGACACTCTAGACACCAAAACAACTTTAGTTTAATGAAGCAGTTATTGTGTATAGATCATACCGCTGCAGTCTCACTGCTCAATTATATTCCATTTAGGAGTTAAATCACTTTTGTTTCTGTTTTTGCAGTCCTAGTCACATCTCCCATGGCTGCCTTCATGAAAACAAAATGGTTTAATTTTTTTTTAATCACATGAAACTTACTTCAAAAGTTTTTATCTTCTGCTCTGTAAATTGAACTTTAATTACATACAGAAGATTTCAGCAGTGTTTCAGCAAGCTATTAACAGAGCAGGAGGTAAGACATTCTAGATTAAACAGAATTTGCAATACAGGAAGTGTAGGCATTAGATGACTCTTTACGGGAAGTGCTTTAGAAGGCTGTGTAAGTCACATGCAGGGAGGTATGCATATAGCTGTATAGACAAAGTAATTTGACTCCTAAATGGCAACAAAATCAGTGAGACTGCATGGGCATGATCTACACACCAAAACTACTTCATTAAGCTAGAGTTGTTTTGATGACTATAGTGTCCCTTTAACCCCTTAAGGACACATGACATGTGTGACATGTCACGATTCCCTTTTATTCCAGAAGTTTGGACCTTAAGGGGTTAAGGTCACAATAGCCGATCTTGAAACATTATTTTAGTCAGCTATGCTTTCAGTTTGGCTACGCTGACCTTAAAAATGACTTTGAATTCACTTTGAATTCTCCCTTTAGCATTGTAGCTCTTATTTTCTACACCCTAATCCACCTCGCCCAAAATCTAGCAAAGCATTAGAGATAAAGACAATTACAACAAAAAAAACTATTAAAAAAATAAATAAATGAAAACTACTATGACCATCACTGCCAAGACAGCCATACCAAACTGAGAGAAAATAAAATAAATAAATAAATAAGAAAATACCCATACAGAGTTCCTCAAACCTTGTTAATGTATCTTTGACCGATTCGGAAGATTTAAATAGAAATATTGCAGCTGTGAATATCTAAAAATCTGCATAGTCAATGGAGAAAGATCACTTACCATTTCCTTCAGAGTTTTCAATCTTGTCTTACCTAATGCCATTACCATTGGAATGAATTCCTCAACTCCAGGGAAGAACCAAGCTTTCGGGGTAAGACCACCCCCCAGACCTCTATTATACGGCAGAGGTATCAGAGGACTTGGTTTCGGTGAAATATGTTCAGCATATTGCGTATTGTCTCCCAGATCCTCAATGTATGAGAGATTGGTGAGGCTCTGCTTAAAGTAGAGGATGTGTCAGATCACTGACTGTAAAGGTGATAGCCCACTGTTTTTATCCAGCAAGATCCAAAGTTTATGATCTTACGTATTATGCCAGTCACTAATTCTTTGAAGAACTGCAGCCTGGTAATACTTTCAAAAGTCTGGAAGTGCTAAGCGTCCCCATGATTTTGGTAGATACAAAATGTCATATCTCAACCTAGGCCTTTCGCCTTTCTAAACATAACGTAATATTATAGTCCGTAAAGTAGAGAAAAAGGCCATCTGGACCACTATAGGAATAGTTTGATATAAAACCAAAAGTCTGTGGAGAATATTCATTTTCACAACTGCCTCTTTACCCTACCAGGAAATAAACAGGTAATGCAAACGTTTTAAATCTGTCTGTATTCCATCCAATAGTGGCCGAAAATTTCGCTGGTAGAGCTCTCTTGGGTTAGCCGATATCCATACTCCTAAATATTTAATCTGGCTTTCACACCATCGAAAAGAGAATCTAGTCTTAAGAATGAAACACTCCCCACTGGGGATGGATACATTCAGTACCTCACACTTGGATAGGTTAAATTTAAACATTGACAGTGTTCCATATACTTGCAATTCTCTTAGAAGATTAGGTAAGGTGGAGCTAGTTTCTTCTACAAAAGAGGGTTGCAGGGGGTTTTATTGGTAAGACAGCTGATCATAAAGATTGTAAAATATCAGCCAAAATAGCTGGTTTTGGAAGACTCTCCAGCTTGACTACAGTCGCAGTAGCCAAAGGTTTTTTCAGCTGTGTCACTGGCTTGCCCCCATTACCCTCCTTTCTCCAGCTTCTCTGAGGTATGTTATGTACATATCTTGTTATTCAGTCAGTGAAAATTAACTGTCTAACATGATCCCTCTCAAAAACATGTCCTTCAAATAATTGGGGATCTTCATTTAAGTTGAACATTAAAAAATATACAAATAACATTCCATGTCGAATAATGTGTGGCACATGTAATCAGATGCTAAAGGAAAACCAGGAAGGTACAGATTTGAAAACTCGCCATTTAAAGATCTTTTAAAAATGATTAAGATATGAAAAGAGATGCACCTGGGCTCACTAAATGCTGTCCACAAACGCAATGCCGTATGTGAAGAAAATGCATAAAGTGTATTCAAACAGTGTACTTCATAAATGAATGGGGCTCATCAGTATTATCGACTGCAAAACCTCTTAGAAATAACAGTCAGAAAATAGCAAATTTCCGATGAAATTTAACATGCATTATTATATTTCAACGGGGAAAAAGTAGTTTTAGCAATTAATGTGTTGCTATCTTCTCTAAAATCTTTGTCGGGCTGCAGTGGTTTTTTTTCCCCATAAAATGGGGCTTCCAAGTATGTTGCTTAGACAGAAAGAGTGAATTAGTAAAAAAATTTTACTGATTGAATGAAGCATAAAGTTGGAAAATGGTGGGTTAAGCCTGATTGCCAAGCAGACCAGATACTTGTTGAGCATGCTCCTGCGTTTTGCACTGGTAATCTGGGGGTATTCTGGGTCAACTAACTGATTTAAGCGCAGCCATGCGCTGATCCGGCAGAGGGGGTCTCAGTGACTCAATCGATACTTCACCGTCACTATTTGCGACCGGATTGCCTGAAGCGGGACTCTGCAGCCTAACCATGATGGAACTGGGGAGTGATGGCCACTCTCCTCACTCTTCATTTGTGTGGGTGGACTCAGCATTCTGCTACCATTCCTGTACCGGTAAGGGTTATCCTCTGTCCTAAGTTGGCCTAACTTAATCTGAGCTTGATCGTAGGACTGCACCCACACATTACTGGGGTGAATGCGAGCTGGATAAGATGGCAGACGCGTCGGTCTGTGCAACACGAGGCCTGCTGCTGCACTACGCCAATCGGACAGGCTCCCTTGGTCCCACTATGACTAACCTGGATACTGTGCTGCAGCACTTCTGGGAGAAGCTGGAGGATCGCTGCAGCTCGGTGGCATCGACCCATCTGCTGACCGAGGGAGCACTGAGACACAGCAGATTGGAGTTGGGCTGTTGACACTCACTTCAAGGGCCTACCTGGGCTGAAGGCCACATGGGTTTCAACCTCTAAGCACCACCCACGTAAGTGGAGGGAAACCAGAACTAAGCGACAACATTTTCTCACCAGACCCATCTGCACTATCCTGTCTGGGAAGGACTTGGACACACTGTGCCACCGATTCAGTGGTAATAAGGTGCTGGCTTTATAAAAGCCTGGGGCTGGTGAGGTACCTAACCTTGGCATAGATGAGCTGCTCTCCTCAGTGGGCTATATGAATACACACCTGGTCTGCCTGAACCAAATGTTGGTTGAATGTTACTTCTGCGATGGCTTGCCAATCTACTCTGAGTGTCCTTCCAGTCTGAAGATTTGGTACCAGTGTTACAAAAGCATCTACTACACCCCACACTCAAGATTTATATGGCATGCGCGTGTTATGTTTAAACTCTGTTTCTCTCTGTTTTGCTTACCTACACATATTACGCAGTCATTGAAAATAAACCAGTCATTGCTTTGTCAATATTTTGCTGTTCATCTGTCTGAAAGTACCTTAGTTATTTCCCCTTCTTATTTTATCTTCTTCATTCCATTTAAAGAGAGACTTGTATCATCTATTTGTAACTTAATGTTTAAAGTGCGTAAGCATCAGACAAATGTCTAGCAGTCCTGCAGCAGCTTTTATATGACTCCATGACTACATACTATCGTCTCTATGTAAATGTCACAGTATTAAAGATGTTTGACATTCCAATTCCTCAATAAAAATTGATTGACAAAACAAATAAATAAAATTGGAAAATAATATAATGTTGTTAGTATTTACTCTGTGTTATGTGGTTTTCGTTCCTTGACTTACAGTATATACACAGCTCAGGGGGGTCTAGCTTTCAAACTTCACTCTATTAGTGAACGGACAGAAATGTAAATTGTCACATGCTCCCTTTGAACTTTTGTTTTTGTTAAATACTCCGTAGTGTAAAAATCACTTTGAATTTCCCGAAATTCCCATTTTATTGAGCAACCATAACTAATAACATTTACAGATCCATTGCTTCAATTCTGTGACATCTCCGACGAGGTACTGTTGACACCTGCTGGCTATTTCCAGACTTGCTCTGTCAGTATCTTTCACAAATATTATTCATTAATATTTTTGTGGAGTTTGGATATAAGCTTGAGATATAAGGCTATGCGTATAAAGAATGAAAAAGATTTCAAATAGACAGGCAGGGTTATTCAGTAAAGTGAGGATTGAAGGTAATTCCAGGTAAATTCAAAATGAATTTCAAATTGTAGGCCAAAGTAGCCAAGCTGAAAGATATACTAACTGAGAGAATTTTCGAGGTTCAGCTATTTTGACTTTAAATTTGAAATTCAATTTGAATACATATGATTAATGCATGGGGAGGAAGGTGGGGCAAAAAGTACCTGCTCAGCTGTTATAGACAGATTCTATGACATTTCCAAAGCCATAGGGCTGGCAAAGCATCATGGGAGTTGTAGTTCTTCAAAAGCTATTTTGCCCTAAATTTTGGCATTTCCTTTTCATTTCCTGACATTTACCAATTCACCAAATAAGCAAATTTTGAACCAACCTAGCAAAAAGAATAGTTGCGAATTTTTCAAATTTGGAATGATTTTGGCCTTAAATTTGCAATTTCATTGCCAGGGCTTTCTTTTTCCCGGTTTAATAAACAAATCCCTGTTTGTGCTATTTTTGACTGGCTTCAGATGTCTTTTAATGTCCCTTTCCGAATGGGGCTAAACATCTTTGGATAACCTCCCACTGATGTCAGAATCACTACATACTTTATAAACACAGTGGGTCTGTAATGTGCCTCTGACGCACTGCGCTGTTGTAAGATTCAAAAATAGAGAGCTTGACTCTATATTCCCCCCATACACAATTAGCATTTTTCTTGTTGAAGCTTCCAAGAAGAGTTAGCTAATTATCAAAGTAATTTACTCATTTGAACATAATTGAGCACTTAGTACATGACATCAGCTGCCAGAGAATATTAAACTGACATTTTCTGATTTCATAGACTTTATATATAACATGTACATCAAAGAATGTATGCTATATAATAAACTGACATTTTCTGATTTCATAGACTTTATATTTAACATGTACATCAAAGAATGTATGCTATATAATAAATTATAACTGCGCCCCCCCAAAACAATACCAAGCATAGATACATTATTTAGATACGTTTGAATCCCCACAACATACAGAATGTATAAATTACCTTCACCACAAAATGTTACCCAGAGAATGCACAGTATACATTGCTAGAACCCCTAATAAGATTACCCAATCATCATCTGCACCCCAAAATGTTAATCACTGCATACATTGTATACATCACCTGCAACTGAAAAAGTTTTCTAGAACACGCAATATATTCATTTCACCCCAAACTTTTCAAAAGACTATATTCTGTACCCCAAAATTGTATCCAGGCTTATTTGTTATATGTTTAATATATGTTTAATAATATTAACATATAATGTATGCCCAGTTTGCATTATCTTTTTAACAAAGACGGTGAGGGTTTTCTATACTAGTAATCATTGAGATTTTACACAGGGGATATCTGTGATGGAGAATTTTCCCGTTTGTCAAATTGGGACCAAAAAGTGCAATTCCTCTGTCATATCTCTACAATTCACAGTTTAGTGAATAGGTGTGGATGTGTTCATTCTTTCTTCCACTGGAAAATGTGAAGGGTTACTCCAATAGGTGTTTTATAAAAAGGCAGTTTTTTGGTTAAAGTAACCCTTTAATATCTATGAGTAAGTTAATTTGCTTTTCAGATTATTTGGTCACATCTTGAAATCAGACAAACAGGGTAATCCTAATCACAGATACCCTATAATAGCACATTGTCTGCTACATATACCAACATATTCAGGAATCCCATCTAAATCTGATCTCTTTACAGAGCAAATAACATATCTACAATATAGACGGCCCCAGCAGACAGAGGGGAGCCCCAGGTATCCATTGATCCATGGGGATCCCTGGTGTGAGCAAGGATTTAACCCTGAACACACCAAATATATCAGGTTTTAGAGCCCACTATATGTAGGACAGCATACTGTAGAATGCCCTAATGGTGTTAAGGGATTTTAACTACAATAAATGTGTTTTTAAATCAGTCTGTGTAAATAAGATAAATTGTTCTTCTTCTAAATAACAATTTACGTGTATAAATAGTTATTAGTAAGTCACCTAAAATTTCTCGGAACAGCCCTGCCCTGGCCACATCCCCGCTCTCACCCCTAAAATTAAAGTGTCCCTCTCTGTCCATGTTGGGAAGCATGTTATTCAGCAAGCATTGAGACAAGCTCTGTGTTGGCCCTAAATGCATTAAAAAATATATATTAAAGATGACAGCTTCCTGTAGTGGTTATTGTCCCTTTAACTTGCAAACATGTATTTTACAGAAATGGTTCATGACGGCCAGATTGGCCTAAAACAAGTACATTTGGGTACGGTTAGACAAGACGCCACGGAGGTGTTATCTGCGGAGGGGTTCATTATTTATTTGTGTGGTATTGTTTTCCTGACTGACATATTCCTATTATAAAAGATTCCAGTACTAGAAATCGTGAGCCGTGCCTGTCTCTGGTTGAATAGATAATTTTACACGTGTAATTAAATTGTCTTATATCACGAGCTGTGTGGGCATATACCTTGTGCGAGAATGCCAGTCTCTCCACATGTACAGAGACAGTGAGACACGGTAGGTTAGCAGAGAAACAAGAGGGCTTGCGAGCAAACAGAAAAAATGCCAGACACCCCAAAAACTCCCAACGGGATGAAACATGTCAAAGACCAGGGCTGTTCAAAAAGTAGATCCTCAGATGTTGTAAAACTACAACTCCCATGAAGTTTAGAAAGACAACGCATTATGGAAGCTGTCATTTTCAAAATGTCTGGGGATCTACCTAGTGGGCACCCCTGTCATAGACAATATATCGCATGAAGGATTTCAGTAAAGCTCTTTGAAAAAAAACGTTTCTGTTTCATATATGGAATTAAATTATAATAGTGAAGTTTTCTCCTTTTAGCTCTTAGTCCTATTCTATAATGTAAAGTTGGGTGGGTGGGTTGGTTTACCAGGGGCTGTACAAATACACACACAATACACAGCGTGTGCAGATTGTTAGCTGCTGTTAACCTGCTGAGTTTAAATTGCAGGATAGATTAGCAAAGTTTAATATAATATCCCTAACATGCTGGTTTGCGCCAGGAGTTTATTAAAAAAAAAAACGGTTATAAAGATATCGTGCATTTACTTGACGGATTGCTCTACGTTAACTAGCTGGTATGCAAAATCTTTTTAGAGAACTTCCCCTTTAAAAGAGTTTTAACAATCCCGCTCATAAGAACAAATTAATTTGCTCTGAGCTGGTTTGGTATAAAGCATAATAGTTTATAGCACTTTTCTTGTCATCTGACACAAAGCATTTCAGGTGTAAGAGCGTAAATCCTGAAAGTGTTCTGTACAGTACCCCACGTCAGTGCAATACATTACAGCGAACAAAGAATGATGTTCAGTAGCATCTATTTCTGTATCATTGTATTCCACCATCAATCTGTACAGAGGTTTATTCACTAAACAGAGAAATCTGGGGAATTGAAAAATTCATTACACAATTTAGGCAGAAATAGCAAAACTTTGACGAACGCTATTTTAGAGATTGTTTCTTATTATCATTTTGGCAATAAATAATGGGTTTTTCATTAATACCGACATAAAAAATAAATGTACGCTTTACATTCTAAAAACACCAAACATTCTACATTTTGGTAGCCATTTTTTGCAAATGACTTGGCAGTGAAGGGGGTTAATGAATAAGACCGGTGTTTTATGACATTCTAGAGAATGTGTCAATCACATTTTGTCTTTGGTATTCTCACATTTCTAAATTGGGACATCAGAGAAACAAGTAGGAACATGGGTCCCAAAGTGGCACCATCCCACTTAGACCAGAGAGTTCAC